AATAAACCGATAACATAAAAATAAATAATACTTGTAAATAATACCAATATNAGAATTTGTGTGTTGAAATCTTTCAAACGGCTCTGTAGATTTGTACAGGATTAATTTATTATTTAAAAAAAATATATGACGAAACATAGATCGACTTACGTATTCTCATATTTTATATTTACATTGTCGGAAAGAATACACCCCTCCCTTGGCTGGAAAGATGCCAATATTTGGCACCTTTCCAAGAAGTTAGACATGAAAACTTGATCATTTTCCGAAGTGACAAGTCAATTGAACAGGTTCCATTGCCAATATGTTACTTTAACCTCAAACTTCTAGATTGAATGCGCTCGTCTCTCATAACTTTTAGATTAGTTCATTCTGGATTTTAATTCAGGAAAAAAAGTATGCGTTAATATTTAATTACCACAGTTTTTAATTATGTTAATGGAAGTAAACATACGATCTCGTTGTGTATGATAATTAGAAATGATTGCTCTTCTCTAAGATGCGGTTGCTGACTTTTAGCCACTAATAAGTTAATTTTAACTGAAATTCGACCCAATTACAGACATTTAGAGTATATATTTTTAATTATTTTAACCATTAAATAGAAAATACGTGAGACTCTGCCCCTTCATCGAATAATTTAAGAGCACGAACTCTCAGAGGCCCCAAGCTTTGATTGTAGTGTGAGGCCTCATAGTATTGGTGTAGCTATGTATTAAAGAAGCAATACTTGTTGTAATGAGTTAAAATATCGTTATATTCGTGTCAAAACTCTTAAATATAAGTGTAACTCGAAAGTGTTGCAGTGGGTATGAGAATTTCATGATAGATTGTCTGTCAATGCATAAATACTTTGTCCAACTAAATTGCTTTGAAATTTTCGATAGTAACTGTTATGGATTTGTGGAAAAGAATGTGTGAAGAGGTAAATTGTTTTGGCATCGATAGATTTACAAGAGAATTTTTTTTCTTTTTTTGGTATATTGCGTGTTATCTAAGAGTATATTTTCAAGCGATACTCGAGAAAAATAATGGAAGTTCTATCACAATTGTTATATAATCTGGCAGTCACGATCTTAAACTAAATAAATGTTATACAGGCAAAAAACGAACATGATAAGCTGCATACTTTGTTAAGAACTGTGATTTTTCAATTCTAAGGCGTGTTGCACCAAGCAGAAATTCTGCAGCGGGAATATGTATTTCTTTTTCAAATTTTCTACAGTCAGCTGAATTTTAGTTCTAGAAAATGTTTTATTTTAGAACCGAGAATAATTTATTAATTACTTAGAGTGGGCTTAATTTTTTTAATGAACTTTATAATTATTACATGTTAACTAGTGTTGCTCTCTCACTAGCTTTAAGCTTATTGATTGATGTATAAGATCTTCCACATCACAACATTTAACTTTAGAAATAAATTAGTTGGTAGTATTTTTTTTTCTAGAGGAAAAAAATATCTCCCCTACAAAATTGCTGCAGTAAATCTTAAGATTATGGATTTTTGAATATAAATTGTTTTTTATTCATCAAAAAGGCTGTTGGATTTTGAAGTTAGAAAAATTTTTTTTATGTAATTTTGTAAATTATTCTTCTTCTGCTCTTATAAAACTGGACTTTCTTGATGAAGGAGGGAGTACTGTAATTTAGAAAATTATAAAGGTTTTATGGTTTATATAAGGAGATAATAGAGTTTGAAATGACTTTAACAATATTCTTTAAGGAATTTCCTTGAAGATAAGGCGGTATAAGGATATTTTCTACCGTTTTAATGATATTTAGAGCTAATTTATGCGATTTTTTAAAGAATAAAATAAATTTTTAGATTTTTAACTGTGTAACTTTTTAAATATTTATGTTAACATCGCAATTAAAATTGATTTTGTTTAAGTGCAAAAAATGTAATGATGATTCTACATTTATACAGAATAATCAAATATAGATCTGTCCAGTGGTCTGTTTCCATTCAAGAACAACTTATATGGAATGGGAAAGACGTATGAAATAATATAGTCCATTATACAATAAATCTACACAAATCAAATTTGGTTCACATGAGACCCGAAGAATGATCATCGGAATGAAGTTTGTTAACGGTGTTGCCAATTGCTAATGATATAATAAACTATTAACGATCATTTAGAAGTGATAATTAAGTTAATTTTCCAAGATGTGTTTAAATTATGTTAGAGATAACTGAATCGTTTTACTTTGTTACACAGGAATTTTTCTATTAAATTTACCCTGTAAAATCTGAATTAATTTGGCAGTGCGATCTTACTGTATATTTAATAGTTCTGGTATTCGATCGCCCTTCGCTGTGACTGTCTGTCGAGTTTTTCCGGAAACTGGAAGCTACAGTTAATATGTACTTACTTTGTTCATCCGTCTGCCCGCTTATCCTCCTGAACTAAAATAACCGAATTAATGGAATTAGTAAATGGTGATTTCAGATAATCACTTTTGTTCCGGCAAATTTGTCTGTCTGTCTGTCCTCTCTCGAGATTTTTCTGAAACAGAGAATCAGACAAATGGAAGGTGAAAGGTGGCATAAGAAATAGGCATCACGGCACCGTTCACATATATACACCTCTAGTCTTAAGCCAGTTGGATCGATCGGACCTAATCGATCCAATCGGCTTAAGGCTGCTCGTGGAGTGTGACCCCACGTTCAATCTCCTGGTGCGTGGGATCGGACTCCGCGGGGGACTACATCCCAGGGGGCCTCGCTCTAGGATCATTTAAAAGGGGAAAATTGTTTTTTATTTTATAAGAGTTACAGACTTTAGAATTATCAACATTTTGTGCGGTAGAAAAAAATTTTGCTGTTTTCATCTCTCTATTTTTAGCGATTTCAATATGACCCCACAATATTTTTAAAGCTGTTCCTGTATATGTAACAGTCTATATATATAAAAGGCTGTTCCTATGTCCCTATGTGTACACACACACACACACACACACACACACAGAGCCTTATACATGTGTGTATATTACGTATGTATGTATAATATATATATAGCCTGTCTATTTTTAGCGATTTCAATATGACCCCACAATATTTTTAAAGCTGTTCCTGTATATGTAACAGTCTATATATATAAAAGGCTGTTCCTATGTCNTTTAAACGAGTAGTTCTATTTATGAAGTGTTCTATTTAGCCTGAAGATGATCCAATGAATGGATCGAAAACGTTTGTTTTAATTAAAAATAATCTCTCAGCGAAAAATAAGGTGTTGGATTACATATTTAATTGTTTTCTGCTGGGTATAGTTGTGGTTTGCTTTAGGAGTATTTTTGGTTGTTAAAGGTCAATGGGGACGGGAAGATAGAGGTGGCCATATATCATACCTCCAGTGAGCATAAACTTAATGAAGATTTTACTTGTTATTGAGCTGCAAGTTGGACCGAAAGTCATTATTTTAATTCAAAATTTTCTCCAGGTTGATAATAACCCGACAAGTACTCTCTTGTTAACAGGGAAAATATGATGTACGGGGGCAAGAAATACTAGTCAAATCACTGTGCATCGAGACCTAAAAATTTGCAGACTGGCATTGTGACGATGTCACAATAAGTAATTGCTCGTTTATTTTTCAAGTATCAATATAGGGTAAGGTTATAAAAATAACTTTTATATTATTTTATTGGAAAAACCTGACGACATTTCATTGATTTTAATTATTGCGCTATATAAAATATAATTGATTTTCTTTAATAAAATAAAACATACTTTAAATAGAAGAGACACAAAAGAAATATTTTTAGCAAGATTCAAGACATTTTAACATAAGAAAGTGTACTTTTAATGTACCAATAATTGTACTTTCTTGTTCATTTCGGTATCTATGCCACAACGTAAACAGATAGATATATAATTAATTTAGATACCTAATTATTTCTTATATTTATTATTTTATTGTAATGCCCTTTATTATTAAGTATATTCAGTATTTAAATACAGTTAAAGGATTCTATTTGCAAGGGCTTATAAAATAAATTTGTCTTCCTCTGGGAAAAGTATTTAGAATAGCTTCGACTGTATACTTCTATGGCTGATTTAATCTTTAATGCAATTTGTTATTAAATTTACTTCAATTTTCTATAATGTGTCTTGTTATAATTAATGTAAACTATCTGTAAAAGTGACTTTTGTATGGAGTTCGACAAGCGAAATATTGATGATGTGAGAATTATTGATTTCTAGAACCATCCAATTATTGAAACCAGATCATTAGATGTAATTTCCGTTTCCGGTAAAACGTAAATAATACCATTTTTATATCTCGTTTGCTTCATACTCTGTGTGTTATGCGTTATTCGATCATATCTGTCGCGTCCTAATTCATAACTTGCAAAACTATTTATTTTGTTTTTTAAATGTGTTATTGATATTTATTTACTATCAATTGAATTCATAACATTCACGTTTACAATAGGATGTTACGTACTCACTCCTACGTATTATAGAGGAAAATTGTATAGTGGGATCATACAGTAATCGATTTTCTATTATAAACTAAATTCTAAAGATGTTTTCTATATTTACTATTAAAGAAATATCTGTAAAGTGATATTTCTGTTGTATCGGTGATATAGAAGATGTCAAAAAAATTAATTTTTGAAGTGGAAATCGTCAAAAAATGTCAGAAACTGGACAAAGAAGACACAATAGATGATATGAAGTGGATTTTTCAAGAGATTTCGGTAGTTAGTAACATATCTAGAACTGATTTTAAAGCTAAGATTCTCTGATATAAAAGCGACAGGGCAGCTTAAAAATCAATAGAAACAGTGCCCAAAAGTCAGTTAACTGTTGCAAAGAGTAAATTGTCTTAATCGCTTACTTAACTCGTCGTTTTAAACTCAGTTTGCAATTCATATTGACGAATTTATCTGAAACACTTAAACGCGGTCAACTGATTTTTGGGCCACCCTACATTTATATTATACTTAATGTTTAAAAGTAAAAAGTTTTTTAAATTTTATTCACTTAGGGAATGATTTATCTTCACGACAGTCCCATAAAATCTCATGGGAAATTAAAATCATCAAATTGTTTAGTGGATAGTCGATGGGTGTTGAAGATATCAGACTTTGGACTTCGGGAATTTAATCGTGATTGTTCAAGAGATGATATGGAATTTGAAAAATATTGTGAAAGTAAGAAGAATTCTTATAATGTTTTTAAAATAAATATAAATATTATTTAAATAAAAATTTTAAATATACTTATTTGGAATTATATATAAATAAGTTAGCAGCGATTCTCCACTCGCGCACTGTTGAGCCTTCTACAACTAAAAAATCCTTATTCCTGCCAATAGTGTTATGTGTACAAACTGCTAATCTAAAGAATAATTCAATTTATCCTTATATTATACAGATTTTTAATTATATAGTTTACTAAATTTGAATTCATGCAAGTTACATGCAAATTTTTACATTAAAAATAACTAGTTTTCTCTTTGAATTGTGTATATTGCGCTGTATATAACACAATACATAATATAAACAACCAAAATGCACGTGAATATACAACATAATAGACAATGATTTGTCTGTTATGTTCTATATTCACGTGCATTTGATAGTGTCTCCAACGTGAAGACACTATCTTGAAGACACTGTATTCTAATGTTCGGCATATGCTGTGTAATCTTGCCCTCAAAGAGGACAAGATTACACAGCATGTGCCGAACATTAGAATATGAGGCCACAATACGTGTCACATATTCTAATGTTATATTCTATTGGGGAACACATTGTGACAGAGTTCAGGTTAACGAATTTTTCCAGTTACAAATTACTCTAAGTCTCCTATTCATTGCTTTACACATTGAACACAAGTGGATGATAAGAACTCGAAGATAACAGTTAAATCAGCGTTAAGTAAATGTACCTTGTAAATCGTCAGCATGTGTTGTGCAGGAAGCAATACAAAGTCTTCAGAATTTAGAAAGAATTAATGTTATTCTACCATTAACTCTTCTATAAATTAAATTGGAACTCTTATAAATAACTTTCAACTTTAACCATTCCATCACAAAATATACGGATGAAATTCTTATTAATGTAACTTATATTAAAATTACAAATTGGAAATAATTCAGAAAATAAATTTATCATTAAAACTTTGTAAAGTTATTTACATTTTAATTACGTTAATGATTTAATTTAAGACGAATTAAAATTATGTAATTGTTCGTAAATTTCAATTTGATGTAAAACGAATAATTATGCATTTATGATAAATGCATTTTCTATGAAATTAGATAATAATTATGAAATTACATACTGTTTGAAACAAATTATTTATGTGATGAAGAATTACAGAATGAGAATTTCGTTAATTAACTTTTACTAAAAGAAAAAAATATATATTAATAATTTCTATCATACGAATGAAAGAATAGAAGAAGAGAGTTTCTACAACGAATAATGAAGAGAAAAAATAAGTTTTTCATAACATATTGAGAAGATCCTCTCTCTCCTTCCCTCCTTTTTAATCTCTTAAAATGGTTATACAAGAAAATATGGAAGGATGAAGAGTCCATTCAAGGAAACATAGACACGAGATGAGATAGATACACATGAAGAAAATGCCTCAACATGTGCTACGTTATACGTAGAAGCTATAACTTATAGAGGAAAAAATTATATGGATATTGAGGGTAAAGATAGGAAAATATATTTTTAAGAAGTTAACATGGAAACAATGGTTTGAGAAAACAAAACAACTCAGACTAACAAGTAAGTAAGATCTCACCCTTTCCGAAAGGTATAAAGATATATGAATAAATACAATAAAAAAGTATTTTCACTATTTATTAAAATTACTTTTATATTGTATATGTTATATGAAAGAGTAAATTTTGAGGTTTTTCAACGTCTTGGTTTTAGCTAAAAAGATGAGATGGGTTCGGGCCATTCAAAAATGTAAGGCTCTATTCTTTTCCTAAAATTATAAAAATACATAAATAAAATCAAGTTTTTCATTACTTATGAAGCGAAATCCCTTCCAAATTTGTGAAAATTAATCTGATCCTTATGTACTTGCAAAAGCAATATAATAAAAAACCTTGTGTAAACAGGAGTTTATACAAAACAGAAAATAAATCTGAACGGAACCATCTGATTTGCAAATATTATTTGGCGTAACAGCAGCTTAATTGTAAATCGTAATTAGTAGTAACTTGACCATAATTAATTAATTAAGTGCTGAATAAGTTAATTAATTAATGAATTAAGTGCTAAGTAGCAAGTGGCACCTCGCATCATAGAAAAAGAAATAATTAAAGTAGACCTGGATACTGAATTTTTTACATAGATGTTTGAACGAAACCTGTATTTGGTGCTCATTATACATATTTCTGTATTTAACATGACTTTGAAAATTGAAAATTACTGTACTTTATAGAAGAAGCAATATTTAAATAATTAGATAATATAAATTAAAGCGAAGACAAGAAACAAGTTTAATATACTGTATTTGCAACAATATAAGATTCCTTTGCATCAAATTGTAAAATGCGTTAATAATAGATCATGAGAATTGTTATAGTTATATAATACATATATTTAATGTGCCTATTATCAATTTTAAATATATTAATTATAATTAGGCTGTAATAATTCAATATAATTTAATTATCAACTATAACTCGACTCCTAACTCAATTGAGGCTTGTTAATATGCAAAAATTGAGAATATCACCCTTGAGAAATGATTAACAGATTAGTGAACGCCAGACACCATCCTTATTAAGGCTTTAATTAAGCTTTTGCATCCAGGCATAATTACTTGTAGCCTTCGAGATACCTTACCACAATAGGATCGGCCAGAATGGAAGTGGAATAGAAAATGACTCTCTGATCGTGATAAATTAGTAAGGTTGAAATCTGAAATCACGAGATGTTACCATGCGGTCTTTTTTTTTACCTTCAGAAAATCCTTCAAACTTCAAGATCTTTACAAAATGATTAGATTTCTTGAAAATCAACTTATTATTCCTGCAGCAAACATTTAATATTTTTAATTATCTTATTACAGTAAAACCTCGCTTAAGTGGCCAGTCCTAAAATTTCTTTGTAAACTTACATAAGTTTTTATCTAAATGAAACTCCATCTTGATGGCCACTAGACACCTCAATTAAGTGACAAGATAGTAATGTCCTTAAGTGATATATATTTCCGTTTACGTGTCCACCAGAATGGGAAAATCCAACGTTTCTAAACTAAACGTATTGTTTAAAATGCTTTAAATAGAACTGAGCTTTGTTGTTATAATTTTGGATCGGAGTCCCCTCCCACAGTTGGCATTTAAATAAAACAATCCTTATTTTCACTCGACAAATTAAATTTATCTCCATAATTTAGTAATAAAAATGATGTATTTGTTAATAATTTTATACAAAATTTGATTTTATTTTGTAAAAATATAACTTTAAAACAACGATGATAGGGCTATGTCACTGATACGTCACTCGCAACACTCAAATGCCGTTGAGCCTGATGTAAAAGCCAGTTTAATATTAACTTTTTCCGACACTTACACACTGCGTATCCGATGAGTTTTGTTTAATAATTTTTAATGAATATTCCTATTAAAATACAGTATTAAATAAAACTACTAACATTTCATAAATATATTTCGTCTACGAGTAGCACAGTACTAAACATTCAAATACTAATACTTTAATGAACCCTATTACGTACAGTTTGCATTCATTCCGTACGAGAGTTTAAATTACTGTCTATTGCAAAGGATTACAGTATAATGTGAATTTTTATTTATTTGTCTAGTTTCATAATCTGTATTAAACTTCGAACAGGATTCATTACGGTACTCTAATTGCAGTTCTATATGTCAATATTTTTAAATGACCACCTCATTTTTATGTGTTGTATATCCCAAATCTGGTCATATAAATGAGGTATAACTGTATTTTGAGTGTAATTTACACAGTTAAGAATGCTTGAAATTCATATGAATTAATACTGCTACTAGTAAGATTAACTTTTGATTCACTTCCAATACAAAGAGAAGGAGGCAGAATAGGTATAAGTTTGCGCTAGAAGATCTCAGTTTGAATTTGAAACGGAAATTTCGTATGCTTCCACTATCAGCTATTGTGGATATTGCCCAAACTATAATGAGTATACAGTATATAAATGATTCTGACAGTTCTCTGAAAGAAAAGGGAGTTAATACATTTATAAAGAGAGAATGTCCGCAAAGTCTTTCACCATAGAAAAAATATATTTTTAAGAAATTTATTTTTCCTCCAACCTCTAAGCACTTTTACAGAAGAATATCTGTCAGAATGCTAATTCCTGTAAGCGCCATCAGAGTTGGTACTTCTTCTGTAAAGATCCTTGCAGGATTGATGAAAATTGTTGTTTCAACCTTTCAGCACTTTATACTTTAAAAGAATATTTAAAAATAAAATTGCATTTTTACAGGTCTTCTTTGGACGGCACCTGAAATATTACGAAATCAGGAATTTTATCCTTACGGTACCCAGAAGGGTGATATTTATTCCTTCGCCATTATCCTGTACGAAACTATAGGAAGACAAGGACCATTTGGAAAAATAGAAATGAGACCATCTGGTGAGGATAGGTACTTGTTGTCAGTATTATCTAAATTAAACTTTCTTCCTCTTTATTCTTTATTTACGTAAATAATAACGAATAAAACATGTTTTAAGTTAAAACATTAAAGATTATATTTTAAAATATTTTTAATAGAAATTATAAAATGGGTTATGAGAGAAGAGAAGCAAACAACGATATTTAGACCCCAATTAGAATTACTGGATACGTTAAACTGTATCAAAGATTGCATCAGGGAATGTTGGAGTGAAGATCCTCAAGAGAGACCAGATTTTAAGACCATTAGAACAAAATTACGTCCTATGAGGAAAGGAATGTAAGTTTATTTACCTTTCGGTTTGTATTATTTCTATAAATCTTATGAATTATTCATTAATTTTTGCGTCTTACACACGAATAAAATTTTTATGTTGGAAAAGTAATATAAAAATAATTAAAAATGATAATATCTCAAGCAATTTTGATTTAATTTTCAGTTTTATTTTCAAAGTATTAAGGTAATAAACACTTTAATGACTTGTGGTGCTAATTCCAATATTTTTTCTGTTTTCACATAAAAATATAAAATTAAATTATTTTAATAAGTATGAAACTTCAATACATTTTTATTTTATTTTATATTTTTTTCGTAGTTTCATTCAGAAAATATGAAAAACAAAATTCGTTCCTAGTTTTTGCATTTGTTAAGTGAAATTGTAGAATTTCTAATAAACACTGGTGTTAAATTTCAGTTAATTTTCTTCTTGTTCACTGAATTTTTTAAAATATATGTTTGTTTTATTATAAATAAAACAATAAAAATCAGATTTTTAAGTATAATAATATTTTTTTAACGTAAATTAATTGAAGAAAAGATTAATTAATTAATGTGAGGCACCAGTAAATTACAGACTCTGTGACTAGACACAATTACAGTTATGAGAAGGCTAACCTGAAATTACCTGCCACTGTAGATAGAGATAGGGAATTATTCCTCAACCTCTACTGCCTATGGTAAATTATGGTAATCTGGATGGGTTCGAATCCAGATCTATTGCATTAATCACACAGCTGGATGATCGAGGCTAATGAAAGCTCATATCTGCCGTCCAGAACAGCAAACTGATGCCTTTACTGCCTTGTCATCTAAGTTCGTCCAAAATGCCCGGGTCAAGCTTTAATTCTTCTCAGTATTCGAGTATGGGTTGGCTGAAAATTTTCACCAGTCTGTTAGTCCCGTTCCTTACCACGGTAGACTTGCAAATTCATGACAGAAATAATAAATAAAGCCTTCTTATTGTCCTCAGGTGGAAAAAGTTAAAAATTATTTTTAAAAATAAATAAATAAAAAATCACTAGGCAGCCGTCTGGCCTACTGATGCGAGGAAACGAAAGAAAAATAGTCAATACTTCCGATTGAACAAGTGAATTTACACGAATAATTCTTGTTTTGTATGCAGTGTACATGAAAAATATTCGTTTCAGGAAAGCCAATATATTTGATAATATGCTCATCATGATGGAAAAATATGCCAATAACCTAGAAGTGTTAGTAGATGAAAGAACGGATCAACTCGTTGAAGAAAAGAAAAAAACTGAAGCACTTTTATATGAAATGCTACCAAAGTAAATGATTTTATCTTCTTTATATGTGAATTAAATACAAGATGGCTCAAAAATCAATTAACCGTTGAAAGGACACGAAACTTCACCGATTTTGTCTCATACATTGGCTTAGTGTACTTACAATACACGCAATAAAATGTAAACAAACGTGGTTAACTGACTTCTGGGCCACCCTAATCTTTTCTTTATCAGTATAAATAATTATATTTTTAATATAATAAATTGTAGATACGTAGCAGAACAATTAAAAAGAGGAAATAAAGTTGAAGCTGAATCATTCGATCAAGTAACTATTTATTTTAGCGATATTGTTGGATTTACAAAAATGTCAGCTGAAAGTAGTCCTCTACAAGTGAGTTTTTTTTTCTTTTTTTACGAAAATAAATTAATAAATTTTTTATAAAAATCTTCGTAAAACACGTAAATTTATTAAATAATTAAATAAATAATTCATTAATATACCTACAATTGTATAAATATAGTCTACATTTAAGAATTAAATTCATTTGAAATTGTATATTTTAGTATTTTATTTTTTATCTTAATTTAAAGGTCGTCGACTTTTTAAACGATTTATATACATGTTTCGATTCGATAATTGAAAATTACGATGTTTACAAAGTGGAGACAATCGGAGATGCTTACATGGTAGTAAGTGGCCTACCAATAAGGAATGGCGATCAACATGCTGGTGAAGTGGCTTCTATGGCTTTACATCTTTTAGAAGCTGTTAAAAAATTTAAAATTCGACATAAACAGGATGAAAAATTAATGCTAAGAATAGGATTACATTCTGGTATTAAAAAAATACTAATATTTTCTTAACGATTTTGATATAAAATATCTCAAACTTATATTTAAAAAACAAAATAATATTATTTTAGGTCCCGTTTGTGCTGGTGTTGTGGGCTTAAAAATGCCAAGATACTGTTTATTTGGTGATACTGTCAATACAGCTTCTAGAATGGAATCAACGGGACTTCGTACGTATTACTTTATGTTCTTCACCTAAACAGTTTATGAATTTTATCAATAAAATATATTTTCTTATTGAGCGGAGAAAAAATTTTATTGATGTAATTCTAATTTAAATAGGATCAACTACTCGAAAATTAAAAAAAAAATGTATATATATATATTCCTTTCGGCCATTACATCTTTGATTTCAAACAACCAATTATAGAAATTCCACATTATATTCTGGCCAATCAATGACGCCTATTTTGGTTGTTTGACTATTCGTAAAAATAAATTTAAATGGAGTATAAAATATATTCATTTTTATTAATATTTGCATTAATTAACTCCTAAATAAAAAATTCAATAAATTAAT